CACACTGCTGGGGGGTTCCATTTTGTGATAGGGTGCTGGCAGATTACGGGCCTCCCATTGCTGCTGCCAGGCCCGTAATCTGCCATGGGCCCCCGTACCGACTCCTCATGCTGCTGCCAGGCCCGTAATCTGTCATGGGCCCCTGTACCGCCTCCTCATGCTGCTGCCAGGTCCAGAGTGTCTCATGGGTCCCTGTACGGCCTCCCATTGCTGCTGTCTCTATCGCCACACTCTGCCATGTGCCACTTTCAGGTCTCCTCACACTGCTGGTGGGTTCCATTTTGTCATAGGGTGCTGGCAGATTACGGGCCTCCCATTGCTGCTGCCAGGCCCGTAATCTGCCATGGGCCCCCGTACCGCCTCCTCATGCTGCTGCCAGGTCCAGAGTGTCTCATGGGTCCCTGTACGGCCTCCCATTGCTGCTGTCTCCATCGCCACACTCTGCCATGTGCCACTTTCAGGTCTCCTCACACTGCTGGTGGGTTCCATTTTGTCATAGGGTGCTGGCAGATTACGGGCCTCCCATTGCTGCTGCCAGGCCCGTAATCTGCCATGGGCCCCCGTACCGCCTCCTCATGCTGCTGCCAGGTCCAGAGTGTCTCATGGGTCCCTGTACGGCCTCCCATTGCTGCTGTCTCCATCGCCACACTCTGCCATGTGCCACTTTCAGGTCTCCTCACACTGCTGGTGGGTTCCATTTTGTCATAGGGTGCTGTATGGCCTCCTATTGCTGCTGCCTCCACCGCCACACTGTGGCTCCACACTCTGGTTTTTGGCCCCGTGACTGCCCAAATGAGTGAAGTGTGCGGTGATTCTAAGATCGACGGCACTCATCTGCATGTCATACTGACTGACAGTATTATTTCTCTTCCCCAGCAGACTCCAAGGGCATTTAAATTAAAGGTACAGTGTTCTGCACTAATATAAAGGCTCTCTGAAGCCTAGAAACACCCTTCGACTCGAATCGAATTTATTCCGCGAATTCGCCGAATCAGCCGAATCGAATTTTTGAATACTTCGCTCATCTCTATTATTAACATCACACATCCTATTTAGGCAGATCCTTTTTATACCTTACTATTAGATTATCTATGATTTATTAAAATTATGAATCATTATAAAATTTCATAATTATAGGTACTACACATATTATGAATGCTCACATATACGAGGTGTCTAAAATGTTTTAAAATGTAATAGTTAAAACCAACCTTCAACCTATATAAAATTTATGGGCCTCAAAACGAATTACATACTATCTGCGTCTATGTGCTTATTTATTACTAATAAAACATGCAAGGTCAAACTCCTTGTTTAACCCATTTGGAGCCAGACAACCCATTTCATAAATCCACTTCGATTCCTTCTTGTTAATTTCCCTTATCAGGTTGTCACCCCTCCAGTGTTGTACATGTTTTTCTATACCCCAGAACTCTAATTTCCTTGCATCTTTGTTATGGTATTTTTTAAAATGCTGTGATAAATGATGATATTTGTACCCCCTGTTAATATTATATACATGTTCTTTTATACGTTCTCTTAGCATCCTTTTAGTACGACCAATGTAAATCAGGTTACATGGGCATTTCAAAGCATAAATAACCCCTCTTGTGTCACATGATATAAATTGCTGAATTCTATATTCTTTTCCACTAATGGGGTTCTGAAATGTGAATCTTCGCCTGGGATTATTTACCACTCTAGTACAACTATAGCATCTACCACAAGTGTAAAACCCCTTTCCCTGGAAAAAGCTTAATTGTTGATTTTTAATAGGTGGTGCTAGTATGCTTTTGACAACGTTATCTCTAATGTTAGGAGCTTTTTTTGTATATAAACCTTGGTATTTCTGGGATGTTATTTTTCAAGTGTTTATCTAATGTTAGAATCTTCCAGTGTTTCTTTATTATACTTTGTACTGAGATTTGTACTGTATGTTATATTGTAATACTACCGATAGTTCCTCCTTTTCAGTATTCTCTTTCTGTTTATCTGCTACCAGCGTATTGCGATCCATTGACCCTACTTTGTCCCTTTCCTCTTGTATGGTTTCTTTCTTATAACCTTTATTTATAAATCTTTCTGCTAGTATTCCACTTTGTTCTACATAATCCTTCATTTTAGTGCAGTTCCTTTTCAGCCTAATAAATTGACCTCTGGGGATATTTGTTAACCACGCTTTATGATGGCAGCTATCTATAGGGATGTATGCATTTCTATCTACTGATTTGAAATAATTTTTTGTACATAGTTGTATTCCTTCTTTGAAAATTTGAATGTCTAAGAAATTTATACAGGTGTCATGTATATCATAACTCAATTTTATATTAGCTTCATTCATGTTTAGACCATCATAGAATTTAGTAAGTTCTTCTTTCTCACCATTCCATACTACCAGCAGGTCATCAATGTATCTCTTGTATATTACTATTTCCGTTTGCATATTCTGAAACACAAATTCATCTTCCCATTTCGCCATATATAGATTAGCAATGCTAGGGGCGAATTTAGCGCCCATAGCTACTCCTCTACTTTGGGAATAGTAGGTGTTACCATACCAGAAATAGTTGTGAGAAAGACAAAATTTTAGACATTTTACAATAAATTTTTTATGTCTATTGGTGGTATTTCCATATTTGTTGAGCGCCCATTTGGCTGCTTCTATGGCTCCCTGGTGGTCTATGTTAGTGTACAGTGCTGCTACATCTGCTGAGCTCAAAAGCGTGTGTTGTTATTTATCTGGATATCCTTCATTTCTTGTATTACATGCTTTGTATCCCTTAGGTATGCTCTAGTTTTAGTTACTAGTGGCTGAAGGTAATTATCTACATATTCACCCAGTCTAGCTGTAAGTGAATCTATTCCATTTATGATGGGTCTACCTGGCAGGTTGTTACTATTTTTGTGAATTTTGGGAACTGAATACATAATGGGTAGTCTACATACAGATGGTATTAGATATTCATATTCTTTCTCATTTATCATTCCCTTCTTTTTTCCTTTTGAAACTAGCTTTATTAGTTTTTTCTTATATTCCTTTGTGGGGTTATTTGTAAGTACTTCATATGTATCTCTATCATTAAGCATTTCTGTCATGATTGATTCATAGTATGTCTTAGATTGTATCACTATTCCCCCTCCCTTATCCGCTGGACGTACTACAATATCATTCCTCTTTTTCAGTATGTCTAGACCTCTCTTTAATTTGGTCTCCATATTTGGTTTTTTAATCCGGAGGGATTCCAGATCTTGTAATACCATGTGTTTGAAAGTATCTATATACTTATTATCTCCAATCTGGGGATTAAAAACTGATTTGTTCCTCAATTGACTAAAATTGGTGTGTTCTATTGCTCCAGTATTATGTGTAATAGGATTACTAGCATAATACTTTTTCAGATTGAGCTTCCTAATCAATTTCTGTATGCTCACATAAGTGTCAAATTTGTTTAATCCTTTTTTCGGAGCATACTTGAGACCCTTACTTAACGCATATATTTCCCCCTCTGTTAGGGGTAATCCACTAATGTTAAAAATGCCTTCACCCTTTAATTCCTTCTTCTTTTTTTGTTGTGTCCTTCTTCCTCCTCTCTTTTTCCTCTCTTTCTTGTATATATTGTGTTTCTTCTTCCCTCCTCCCTTGGGGATTCAAATCCCAGCCTAAAAAAGGGTTCGGGAGGGGTGAATTTGGTTCTTCCCTTTCCAGGGGTGAATATCTGTTGTGTATAGGTACTTGGTATGGTTTATTCATTATTGGATACTGTACTTGGTATTGTGGCCTTTGTGGTTTTGGATAGTATGGGCCTCTATTTTGGCCAGGCCTCCCATAGTATTCTTGTGTGTAATATCCTTGGGGACCTCTCTGGTTATAGCCTCTATTACCATTGTGATATGGTCTCCCCCCTTGATAGGGTGGGTTATATGGAGGTCTATACGGCCCTGGAGTATAGTTTTGTGGTCTCCAGTTATTGGGATTCCCTCCTTTTTGATGGGGATGTGTTCTGTTATCTTTCATTGGTGTTTTGAACCCTAGTACTTTTTTGGGGGGTGGTGCTTTCTCATTTGTTTTAACTGGTGTGGATTCTGTAGATTTAATCTCATTGAGATTGGGGTTAGTTTGCCATTTAAATACTGATTTTTGTTGGTAATCCTGGCTCACTCTCTGGTATTTTTTCTTTTTCTTATTCTTAATTTCTGTATCTTTTTTCTGGGCATTTTTATTGAGCTGGGATAAGTATTTTACAAATTCTGGGTGATCTTTATTGGTTTCTACCTTGTTTTGGTACTCCTTTATCACTTTTTCTACTTTCCTCATTTTTCTTTGTTTTCTTTTTAGTAGGAACTGGAGAACCTCCATTCCTTTTTCATTGAAGAAATTGTACCATTCCTCCTTATCTTCTTCCTCCAATAAGCCATCATTAATGGGTAATTCCCATCTAAGCTTTCTTGGGATCATTCTTTCTTTTATATATTTTTCCATAGTGACTATATCCCACCAAATGCTATTTTTTTTATCCATGAGGTTCCCTAATTTCTTGAACAGATTATTAATACTTAGATCATCCTGGTTTTCTCCCAAAAATATATTATTGATATCAAATTCCCTACTTTCCAAAAATGTGAAAACCTCCATAATTTCTACAAACAAGTGATAAATGAGTGTAAAATGATGCTATAAATAGTGAATACTTGTGAGCTATTATGAATGAGGTCTTCAGTAAATTATAGATAATTAATAAATAAATAATTATCTACTGGTGTCATGCGCTTGGTGCGCTGGCACTCACACAGACTCACTTACTAGTGTTATTAAAGTAACAAAGATATAAATAGTGCCGCGCTCCTATTGCTATATAAAATAGTTAAATACAATCTAATCTCTTTCCAATGAATATATATATATTGAAACCTCTGCAAAATCCATAAACCACTATACTTAGTGGGTAAAAATAATATATGAATCACTGTGACTGGTGAATCAAATAAATAATTGTAAAAAAAACCTTAATAACTTAGGCTGATATCAATCAATTAATTGTGACTAATAAATTAAATTAAAATTAGAGTGTATATAAATATTTGGTGCCACTCATCAATCCATCAATATTGTGCAAAGACATATATTAATATTAATGTGCAAGTGCAAACATGATAATACATGAATGAATAAAAGTCTTTTGAAATAAGTGCAATGTGCAGGTGAGTTCCTTATTCCCTTTTGCCTCAGGTGCCTTGTGATCTCCCTATGCGCTCACCTTAATATTTGCCCAAATAAATTCAGGCAAATAAGCTTTTAATCCTTCCAGGATTGATGGAATATTGCTGATGTATATGATGTTCCACGAGGTAAGTATAGATCTATTATGGATACTCCTGTACTCTCCTCTCTCTCCTTAGGTTGCTGCTCATAGGTAAGTATTTAGACCAGCTCTATAGGGATCTCCTTGTTCCCCTCCTGGGGTCACCTCCTTCTCATATCCTCCTTTCTCCAGTGTGGGGAATATAAGTCAAATGAAGAAACAAAGAAGAAAGACCATGGTGCCTTATCCTTTTTTATAGCAGAAATTTATTACTGCCAGTGGTGGTATTTTACAGCAATATACAGTTCTCTGGTGATCCAGGACAGCATAAGCAAACACAGTTAGCAGTGAGTGAGCAAACCTCTTCCTCTACCTCTATCTCTCTGCCTGCCTCCGTCCGTACTGGAATCTCCAAGCCTCTCCGATGCAAGGTCGTGACGTCAGAGCCCCTCCCCTACGCGCAATAATATCAATATTATTAACAGGGGGTACAAATATCATCATTTATCACAGCATTTTAAAAAATACCATAACAAAGATGCAAGGAAATTAGAGTTCTGGGGTATAGAAAAACATGTACAACACTGGAGGGGTGACAACCTGATAAGGGAAATTAGCAAGAAGGAA